AAAAACCGAGCAGGAATCGCTATTTTCAAATTCTGAGCGGATTTTGACCAGATTTTGTATAAAGGGGTTTTTTGGGTCGCTGATTACGAATATGAATTCACATTGTAAAAATTCAAGATGGCTGATCCAATATGGCGGGTGTACTTTTTTGAAATCCACCGATTTCAGTAAAATTTGGCATCATAAGGATTGCTGGTTGATCTCACCTTCATTAATCACACATCTGGAGCCAGATTTTCATAAATCAAGGTAAAAGATTCCACTCCGTCTAAAAATGTGACTTCGCTTAAAAAAATGACTTAAGGACTCTACACATGTAATGATGTGTAGTGTGATGTGCTTGTTTCCATGGGACAAGACAAAAAAGTTTCTACTTTATTCTTTCATTTATTTAGTCGTGCATGGGCTTATGGTTTTCCAATCAGATTTTTTTAACTACTATGCAGTTTTCCTATGGCATTTAGATGCTTTTATTTCTTAATAATTTTAAAGTTCAAGGAAAAGGACACATTACTGCCACACAGCACATCACTGCATCTGCTTATGCCTTCAATCTAAAAATGTGACTTTGCCGAAAAAATGCCGCCTACTCGGCCTAAAATTATGACTGCCTACAAATTTTACCAAATGTACTATTTGATGTGGAAATAATTTTTTTTCCAAATTTTCCCAGTAAATTTTCATCAATTTTCACTATTTTTCACAAGTTTTTTGAATTAGGAAAAAATTGTGACGTGATGGGCCAATTCTGACCCCAGATTCGTGTTCAGGAAGCCAAATTACTACGAAAAATACATGTCGCATAAAAAGTATACCTAACATTTTTTTTTCTGTGTGGCTGTGTAATTTTTCAAACTCTATTTTAATGGCTGTCTACGCCGTCACCGGGCGGCCAGAAATTAGTCTGGTAGGCTGTATCAGTGCACTAATAGCAATGCCATTTATAACTGTTAGAGAGCGACAATGGACAATTTAGTAAAATATATTGCCTTTATATGGCTTAGCAACGTGTTATTGTAGTCACTTCAACATGTATTAAATATTAACTAAATACCGGTACGTAATTACTTTTTTGCCGTTTTAAAAAACGTACATTTATTTAAATTTAAGCAGAATCTCACCCCGTTCCGAACGCTTACGAAGGCAGTGGAGGCTAGCCTCCGCTGTTCAGTTATAAAATGTAGTATTGCTGCCTCTGTAAAACCGCTACTGCCAATTGACTTCACACCTGTTATGATATGACGAGATGGCAAACTGGTAAAAAAACAAACTGTCACGTTAACTCGGCGGGACATAAATGACTGAATACGTCATCGCCGCTTCAATTTGTTACATTTTTATTTTAATTTGCAGTTCGGTTTGCGAGTGGATGTTTGTGTAATAAGTGTATAACTTTATTTATTTCGGTGTTTAGTGCCGATACGGTGAATTTTCGTGTTTTAATTTTCCAGTTTTTGTATATTATGAAAAACCATGAATACGAATTCTGTATATTATGAAAAAGCATGTATACGAATCAAGAAAGAGTTGATATGGTTAGAGCCTACCTTCTGTCAGGAGAAAACGATGCTGTTACGAGAAGACGATATCGAATGTATGATCTCGACCGGCAAGTACTACCGAATAAGAAAATGTTTGTAGGAATGATACCAGTATTCTAAGATTAGCCACAAGATTTCAAGTGTCTCATATGCTGAAAAAATGAGGTGAGTAAAGAGATTAATTACTTATTTTTGTGTATTTCATTTATCATTAAATTTATACTTTTTGAATTTTCTGTTAAATTACTTATTAGGTTTTGTTTCGTAGTTTATCATATTAAACAGAATTAAATTTTTGTTTATATGTGATGATAGGGCTCGTGAGGGATCCCATTTAATAATAGAAACGCGCGAAGCAGTATTTCATGGCGTGTGGTGTGAAAATTTGCTTTTTAATAAGCCTTTCCTTGAATAAAATTTGAAAAAATAAACTTTTGATACGTGTTTCTAGAGGTCAAAAGTAACCTCCGTATAAATATGACTCCGGTTCAAAATTTACACTGTATAAAATAATGGGAAAATGTTTGCACTAGCATTTAGGTATGTACATAGTTTTTAGATTAAAGCTAGATTTGAATTTAAGATACGATAACTTTTTTAACTTGTTATACTAAACAGTCGCTTTCATTTGTGTTCATCACTTTTCTCCTGGGTAAAAAAATAAGGGCTATTCAAAAACGTGGCTAATTACACATTAAAGTGAGTATACTAAAAAAAATTTATAGCCATTTTGCCCAATATGGCGTCGCCAAAGCACAAGCGCGTCTCTGAGTAAATAATTACGCGTAGGATGTGTCGCATTATGGTCCAACTGTAAAACATTTAAAAAAAAAGTACGTTAAAAGGACTCTGTTTTGGACCAGATAAATTTTAATCACCCTGTACAATATCCAATGTGTTTATACTGTAAAAAGTACAGTCGTTTCACAGCGTTGGCCATCGAGACGGTTCCTCACTATAAAGCAGCTTAAAGAAAACAGTAAGTCAGCAAAAATCCTACCTTGCTCTGTGTGGCGTAGTCTAAGGCTAACATGCAGTCGTTGTAACCGTTTTCAGTCTTGATGGTGGTGGCCATTGGGCCACATAATTGGCCTAGTTGGCCTCCGACGGAATCGCGATACCATGGGTACATATTCATCCTGAAACAGATACAAAAATATATAGCGTTTAGATAGTTTTTCGTATAAAATAAGTTCGCACCAAATGAGAAACATTTTTATTTATAATTTGGTAAAAAATTAAAGTAGAAACAGATGCCGGAAAATCAAAATGACGGAGAAAAAATTAGAAACTATATTTCTCCGATATTCCCAGATTTATGAATCTGGTTTTCCAGATTGGTTTACATCCCATTTAGTGTGGGTATGCCACAGGGTAGCATCCTAGGGCCTTTAGCACTCGATAAGATATTTCAACTGTTTTTAAATTTTCTACTGAATTGCGTCCATGAATTTTGTACATAATTAATTACTTTTAGCAAAACCATCAGACATTCTTCTGCAAAAAAAGAATACCTACGACATCCAACGCATAATAAATGTAAACAAAAACCTATCGGCACCAAACAACCACCTTCCCGCGGGATTTAATTATTTCTTACGAATCCCGCACATCCACTCGAAAATCCGACCGAACTTCCGCCTTCTCCCGCCGTCATCGATCAATCTAGGCGGCCGATCGGGTCTCGGACAAACAGACGAACCCATCCCAGCGGGCACCGGCCAGGTGGTGAATGAAACAATCGCCAAATCCGCAAACAGATGAATGGAATAAGAGAGTCAATGAGCGAGTAAGCCGGGGTAACCGAAGGCCCGCGGCCTGCTACGTTCTGAATTGGGTTAGCGCGGATTTACCTGGACTGGACGGTCATTACTGCCTCGGCTTGACCACAACACCCAGAAAAATAAAAAAGACTGATGACGGACACAGCGGCGGTGCCAAATTCCCCGGAATCCCGAAACGATGTAAAAGTGTCCGTAAAAGTGTGTACATTTTTTACATACACATAAAAGTGTATACAAATTCGCGCGTACCAAAAAAATGTGCGTATCTAAACATGTGTAAAAAATATGTAGAAATGAATCAACTTTTACGTAAAAGTGACAAAACATGTATGTAAAAGTGCTTACATATTATGTATCAAAAAATATTTCAAGTGTACATAAGTATACAAACAGCTGTATTACTGTCTAAAAATGTGCGTACGCGTGTTTAAATATTCGTAAAAGTGCCTGAGTGTATCTTAAGTTGAGGAAAAATATGTGAAAAGTGTATAGAAATGGTCGTCTTAAAAGATATCTACATGTATGGGTGCGTAATAGTGTGCAAGATGATAAAAACTTGCTTGAAGATAAACAGTTATAAAAGTGTGTACATTTTTACACACACGTAAAAATGTGCGTAAAAGTGTATAAAAGTTGCGCTTGTCCACAAAATGTGCGTAAAGGTGCCTAAACATATAGAAAATACGTAGAAATGCATTTTCGTAAGCGTGAAAAAAAATTTGTGGAGGAAACACCTAAAATAATGCGTAAAAGTGTATATTTCACAACATATATGTAAAAGTGTTACATATAATATGTATGTAAGATAATTCAACTGTACATAATAGTATATAAAAACTTGTGTTTGTGTGTAAAAATGATTGAGTGTATCCAAAGTTGGAGAAAAATATGTGAAAAGTGTACAGAAATGGTTGTCTAAAAGATATCTACAAGTATGTGTGCGTAATAGTGTATAAGCTGTTAAAAATATGCTTGAAGGTAAATAAGTGTATGTATAGTGTTTATAAAAGTGTACATGTTTACAGGAAACATCTAAAAGTGTATGAAAGTGTATAGAAATTTGCAATTGCTCAAAATGTGCACAAGATGTTCAACAATGCGTGAAAACTGTTGATATAAAACCAAATACTGAAAACAACGCGTAAAAGGTACAAATACTGTTGAAGTCAGAACATGTGCATAAAAGTGCTAAAATATGTATAAGAAATACAAAAGTGTATGAACATTTATATGGCCGTCTTAAAAAATGCATAATCACAAAAATGTATAAAACCTCATAAAAACGTATGAAATGCGTAAAGTGTATAAAAATGTGCGTAACTTCCCAAATCGTGCAAAAGGTGTTCTAGGTCTACGCGTAAGCACTAAAAACGCGCATTTTACACTGTTGATACTTTGTAGAACACATGCGAAAAACATTGTTTATATATGACAAAATTATTTATTTTTATGACCCCCTCGGTGGTCCAACCGGAGACGCCGCTGACCCACATAATATTATGGTGCCGTAATGGGGCCACGGTAGCGTGCAACCGCAGCCTAACCCCTAATCATTGCACTTGTTACAACAAATGGAACTTTAGAAATTGCTGCCTGATGATGTAGATGTATATGTTTAAGCTTAAATGGAAAAGTGACGGGGATTCGTTGAACCCAGTCAACGTGAATCGCAGGAAGCTACTGCTCTTCTTTTTTTTTCGGATGTTTTGAACGCGAGGCATGATCGCTGTTTTGGCATCAGTTGGTCTCGAGTGGCTAGGTACGTAGTTCGGTGTAAAAACGCGAAACGATCTATTTTGTTTGCACATCTGCGAAGAGGATTTGAGGAATCTCAAACCGCAATCGGGTTGGATTTAATTTAATTTTAAAATAAGGATGGATGAAGCCAAAAAAAACGCTAAATCGACATAAAATGTTTGGGAACTGCTGAATTAAAACAATAATTTAGAAAGATACCTAATGCTAGTTTTCATAGATTTTGCATTAAGTAACTCGAATACCTAATAATGATTAACACTAGTGCGACCCTTTGTTGGAAAAGTTTTAGCATCACTGGCATAATTAACAGTTAGTAAACACATTCGTTTCAAATATAAATATAGGAAATACATTTTTTTATACGTAACCATTACAATACATTAAAAAAAAATGGCAGGACCAGAACCGTCCAAAAATGTTCTTTCATAAAAAAATTGGGGACTACTGATATAAATATTTAATTTATCCTACGTGAATATATATTTTGAATTGTGCTAGGTACATGTAAAACAAAGAAAATCAGTAACTGAAAAACACTTTAGATTCCCATTGTTTAGAAAAGTTTTGGAGTAACTGTCAAACAACTGTATGCTCAATTCATAATTATATAAACATAACAGACACATACTGCTCTTATATTTGACTTTTAATACTAATAATAACAGGGATTAACAGCATATGATCCCCTTCTCGAAAGTTTTAGAATCACTGACTTAGTTAACTAGTTATACGTTGTAGGAAATACATTTTTTCATATAGGTACTACACTCGGTATTGCACATAAAACGATTAATACGACTGACTGAAACTTTTTGCCGTGAAAGTTTTGGGACCGCTGGCATAAATAACCAATTACAAGTCCGATTCGGAAATAAATATAGCGAACGCATTTTTTGCATAGGAATTACGCGTAAAACGATTAATAGGTCAACGATACTGGTCTAGTTGCCAGTAATAAGCAGAAGAAAGTCATTGGCAGGCGGAATACGCGTCCGTAATGAAGGTATTCGTATGCGACGCAACGCGCTAAAGGTTAAACTGATTAATTTTTGTTACACAATCGGGCAGTTTTCGCAGTGAACTTGACTGAAGGCAAGGTGGATGGGTTGGAACGAACAGGCGACTTGATTATGGGGTAAATTTTGAAAATTCTTCGGTGGTTATATCGCCAAGGGATTAGACAAGATATACGAGTTTGAAATTACACGCATCTGCAAAGAAATAATAAAGCAGAAGCCATTAAACGTTGACAAACAAATGAGGTGACATCACTGTTTATTTCCATGTGTTGCTTGATTTTGTTTTCATATAATTTTCTCGCTAAAGCACGGTTGAATGTCTGTTTTATGGTTGTAAGAAAAATACTAGGACAGAAAGGTTGAAATTATTTGATACTTTAGGATCTAAATTAATTATCATTGAACTATATCTCTGAACGGATTCAACCAATCTATTAGCTATTAATGGGTTTAAACTTTCAAAATAATTCAGTATAGGAACAGATATTCAGAAAATGTTTTCGAAAATGTAAGTAACAAACTTACGTTAAAAGAAATCGTCAAAATTCTAGTAGAAAATCGATTATAACTTTTTTACTTGCTTAATATCTAATAAGTATTTAAGGGTTTTTCTCTGTTTATTGGGTATACTTTGCCGCCCGTGAAAAAAATATTGAAATAAGCTTTTGAGCCAAAAGCTTCAGTTTAGCGCTATTTTTATTAAACTATTTTTGACAAACCAACTATTTTGCAACAAAAAAAGCAGACAAATGAAAAATGCACATCAATATACATGCACTTCAAACTTCAACTATAAATTCGTGTTTTCAAAAATAAATCCGTTTTCCTAACGAAAACTAGGACAAATGATTGTATTTTTTTGTTTGTTTTTGCTTTCTTCAATGTGCGATGTAATGTTAGGCAAAAATAATTTAATAAAAAATGTCTTGACTGATCTTTTGGACATAAGAGTTTATTTAATAAATGTTTACATACGAGCCGAAATATCCAATAAACAGAGAAAAAATAAATAAATAAAAAACTAAAACTATGAAACAAAATTTCAGACAATGGGCCTGATATAAGAGTATATTATATTAATTTACCGCATATTAAACCAATTTAGTAACAGCTGATTATACACTTCTATGAAAATGCGACTTTGTAACGATTTTAATGGGTTGTTAAAAAATAAAATTTTGCAAGTTCATTCAATATTCCAGAAACATGACATAACCTCATTTTTGTGATAAAAATTGACGAATGGGGAAGAATTATTATTACTACGTTTTAATTTTGCTTATTTTCATTACCTATATTATAAATTACTTTGTACTCTTGGAAAATGTACTGGAAAGATTAAGAAATTAGAATAAGTAATATTGGTGCGATCAGCTCTGAATTTTTCTTTGGTAATAAAATAATTTTTGTAATACTGATTTTTGTTCTTATTCCATCTCTCATACGAGATTCTATTTCGGATACAACATGAATAAGTTACTTGAGGCATATAAGGCCCACTTAACTTAAATATGCAATAAATAGTATATTTTGTTGTTTAGAAAGACAAAATCATGTTTTCTACAAAGTTTATGAATT